TTTATATATATATATATATATATAAACAGAACACTGCTTCAATGGCTTCAACAATGTATTCACCACAACAACAAGATTCTTTTCTTTAGTCAAATTACTTATTGGGTTCCCATCTATAAGTTTGTCTTCCAAAATATGATAAGTTCATAATCCAAATGCATTGTCTTACATTTATTATAAACAAAGGTCCTTTGCCAAATGTTTGTCCAACTTACCAACTGATCCAAGTATTTCTTTACAGGGTACAAAATAGTTTGGTGGATTTAACTAGCAGTTTCTGCTAATATGGTTAGCAATTATCAAATATTATCTTTTTAACATTCATCATTTTAACACATTATGTCAACTAAATCCAGCACTAAGTCTTATCTCTTTCTAAAGACATCCACTAATAAAAAAGGTAAATGGTATGTTTTTATTCTAATAAGACTTTTATCCAGCTTCAAACCCTAATATTGTCATTTTATGAACAAAATAGTTCCTGGTATATAAAATAAAACTTCAAAACTGCAAGAAATTCCAAACACCTCAGCTGTCACAAAATAATGCAATAATCAAAGTGACTTGAAGATATTGCAACTGAACAAGGTTGCCACAAATCGTTTCTCAAATTAATCTAGCTTATTTATTTATTTCTATTTTTTTGGTGAAGTCTCATCACTCTCTTCACAACATGGACTTCTTGTTTTTTTGAAGAAGTAAATGTCTAATGACTTTCAGCATTAATTACCCTTCTCGCCACAGTCATCCTTTACTGCACATGTCATGAGGTTTTTAGTGAGTTCCATTCAAAATTTAATTAAAGTACTTTTTTGTTCATGTTATACCATATCCTAAAATCATAGCTAATACTACATATTTTAATAGTATATAAGTTTTAAGTTTTTAATTTTATAAGTCAATATTTAAAAATATCCTGAATTTCCCCTAGTGTGAGAAATATGAAATTTTTTCGCTAGACATCCCCTCTTCTCTAATTTATTTACCACCTGTCCAAGAACTATGAAATTTAATGTAAATTACTCATTATAGTAATGTCATCACTCAGATGTAGCATTATTTTCATAGCTTTCAATTTTGTTTGATTACAGAGCTGTGAAATAGAAATTCATACACCTCTTGTTGCACCAACCTGTCACATCCTCTCTTTCAGGAATTGTCAATAGTTCTCTCTTACACTAATACTATATTATTTATAACCAATAGAGAGCCAAGGTGTTCATATATCAAATGACATATTGTATTGTGTTGTTTTCTGTACAGAAAAATGTTAATTTCTCTTTCAATATAAGTTTTGTTCTCACTGGAAACACAGATTAACTAGGATGAATTTGTAATGGCTCCTGTTGCATAGTTAGAAAGCCAGAAAAAATGTGATATTTATGGGACATTACCTGCTTTTTTTCATGTTATTATTCTATGTTCTTTGGGACATTATTTGATTAAATAAAAAATTATTTAGTACAACAATACTATTAATATAAAGTAGTAGGGTTAAGTGTCACATACAGTTGACAGCAAAAAAAAGAAGGCCCAGGTAAGTACTTTATTTTTTGTTTTTCATGTATATTCTTTATTATTATAAAAGTAACTAAAATGTAAAAATAGGAAACTGTTTAGGTTAGTTAAGGTTAGATTAGGTAAAATAAATAATAATAATATAATAAAAAATTTTCACAAGGCGTGCTTGCAAACAGCCCTGAGTATCTCTTGGGTAATGTAATTCGATAGCATAACATGACCAGCACATTCCCCAAGCGATTTACAACTTATGATAGTGCAAATAGTAGACACAGTTCAAAGGGCAATACAACAATAACACTTAAGTACAAATAGATGTGTACAGTTACAAGTTTATAGCTACTTAGGATAAACAAATCTAGTTTTGTGTTACAATTTTAAGTCATTCTAGGAGAAAAAAGGGTAATTTAGATTTATCACAAATGTTTTTTGGTGGTTTTAAGGTTGACCAAAATAACAGATAAAATATAAGGATTCACCAATAAAAAAGTCTGACATTTATTTAGGAGGTTTTAGGGAATATGCAAATGAAATTTGAGATTTTTCTGGTGAAGAAAAGAATTTTTAATCTTATCATGAAAACCACAATACACTTGGACTGGTCAAAAAAGACTGGATATATTCATGGACAAATCTTAGTAAAAAGTACTTCATTAAAAAATCTGATATTTCCGATAGTGTACATTACCCCCTCTCACATAAATAGCTATTCTCATTCAGTATATATGCCCTCTACATGCAGACATTTTTTGCACATACCACAAACCTTCAATCTCCCACCCATCTGAAATTGACTGGTTCTGATGTGTCTTACGTATAAATCATCATGCTACAACCCTCCACCAATAAGAGTGTGACATACTCTCTTGATGAATGTGACACCCTGTATTCATTTCTACTGAACTATCACTTCTCATTTGGCAGTACTCGTGTCAAGGCATTTCTCTTTTTTGGTGCTCTTTGTATTGTTTGAATTCGTGAATTTAGATAGTTTAATCTCCGAAGTGGAATTTCTCCATTATTTGTTTTTTTATGTTAACATAGTAGACAAATTTTTCAGTTAATTTAATTTCCCAGGCTTTTGTTTTTCTTAATCTCAAATATATTTTTTTCATCAAACATATGTGTTTCATAATGAATCTAAGTTTCAAATGGACAGCAACTGCCTGTTGTAGAAACCTACAAATGTAGAGGACGATGTTTCGAAAGTCTTCCACCTTTCGTCTTCAGAACTTAGACTTCACTGAGACCTTGACTGGGTAAGCTTTCTTTTATTTCTCTTTTCAGGGGCTTTTTCCCTTTTCTGTCTTTTTGTTTGTTGCTACTCATTGTCTGGATGCCACTCAGTGGCAAGTGGTGCCTGACTAGGTATTCTTTAACCATTCAAATCCGCACTGAAAGACCATGTCGAATTACATATTATGATTCCATGGCCATAAAATGCACACAATGGAGGTGGGATGTTCCACAAGATCACTTGTAAGTTTATCCTCGCAATATGTTTGCTTCATTAGTTTGCCTGTCCTGAACCGTACTCACCCATAGACTATTTGGGTAGAGCAGAAGGGGATAACTGCCCATCCCTACCATGCCTTGTATTTAATAAATCTGAATGGTCTGCTTTTCAAAATTGGGTTTCGTGGTCACCCATTGCACTGTCTAAAGTGTTGTCATTCCTCTGGACTCTCCAACACACTTTCTCCCCCCTTTTCTTCTAGTAGAGTTAGAGAGTCTTTACCACTTTCTAGTTCCAAGCTGCTGGGGTGGTGGACCATGGAGGCATCCACTGAATGTGTTAATGAAATACAAATAATATATATATATAATTTATAAATAAATGATAATAAAACCATTCAGTTAAGAGTAGGATGGTGGTGTTCTGCTGGTGTAGATGACAAGATATCCTCCACTATGTAACATTGGAATGAGCCATCAAAATTGCAGTTCACCCCTTTGATTGGGATCCTTTATCCTACCCCAGACGTGGATGACGGTTCTCAGTGGCTAGGTTTTTGATTTAAGAGTTGAACCAATCAACATAAGTTCTCACACATGTATTATAGATGTCCCTATTCCCTCTCTCACTTATACTCTTGCTACTCCATCCGTGTTGTGGGTCGCGATGGAGGTACTTGAAGGTTACTACTGTTCTTCCCCTTCTGCTATCCCTCGATGTTCTTATTATTCTGAGGATGTTACTGTGCTTGGGGCAGTTCCTGTGACTTTAAATTTGAATGAGGTACTTTAAATTACACAGACATCTTTTTGATGCTGGATGTCAGGATCCTGGATCAATCAATCAATTTCTTTCATTGTTTTCATGTGCCCCGTTCATGGGTTGGCAGGTATGAGATTCCCTCAGGGCTCATGAACTTGAGGTGAAGACAGTATGATTCTCTTTCCTACCCAGATGGCTGGGTTTTGGATTGTAGTTAACTTACCACTGGTATGATCATCTTTCCTATGCCCACATAGATGTCAGTACCTGGTGGCTGGGTTTTGGATGTAGTTGACTTGCTGTGTACAGTGTGTTGCGCCCTAGCCACTCTACACCTAGGGGCACATCCTTTTAATTTTACCCACTTTTATGTTTTCTGGGATAAATAATAAATGTTGTATGGTTTGGATCCCTATCCTGCCATAGTTCGATCTCACATAGTAGACAAATTTTTCAGCTAATTTAATTTCCCAGGCTTTTGTTTTTTTTAATCTCAAGTATTTTTTTTCCATCAAACATATGTGTTTCATAATGAATCTAAGTTTCAAATGGACAGCAACTGCCTGTTGTAGAAACCTACAAATGTAGAGGACGATATTTTTCGAAAGTCTTCCACCTTTCGTTTTCAGAACTTAGACTTTACTGAGACCTTGACTTGGTAAGATCTCTTTTATTTCTCTTTT